TTGAGACCTTTGCCGAAGTAGGGCAGGAGGTAAGAGAATGGAAGGTTTGAGAAAAAAACATTTTATATAAGACTGATGTAAACAGGTTTCCTCAAGTGAACTTTTGGGTTAAAGGATGTAAACACTAGGGCTACTGAATACAGATGGCAAAGTATTCACTCAAAATAATGAACGCTTTGCTTGGCAACATGCACTGAATGAATCTCTTTAAATCATATAATAGTTAATACAGATTATAAATATTAAAATATGTATTAATAGCAACAACATGTTTTTCCTTTATGAACTTACGTATGTTTGATTACTAGTGTAGCTGATATTTTTCTGTATGTGAACCATCTATTGTCTTCCACGTAAAAATTAAAGATTCATATTATTTGTCCATTCCTTTAAGGTTTTAACATTTTCATTACTTATTTAATGAGGCCTTAATATGCAAAGGCTATTTGCTGAGCTCTCCTCTCAAATTGCTTTGAGATAATTAGCTATTAAGAATGGGCTGTTGCTTTTAATGAATAGGTACTCACTAAGATGATGTACAAGCACCATACAATGTTTCTTCTACAAAACAGAGAAATTTCTTTCAGATCTCAAAAATAAGAAAAGTTGTGCAGCCTCTGAATAGTTGATATATTTTTATCCACTGGATATGAATACTGAAGCTGATTGATTACTCTTATTTCTTTAAGAAGCTATTAACTTATGGATTATCATTAGTTATTGCATAGAATATGATGGTATTTTTCTTCTAATTCTATTTTTAGGATTAGCATATTTTCCATTAACTTCAACCTTTCAATTTGTTAGTCATTATCTGTTGTAATAATGTGCATACTTCTATAAGTCATCTCCAATCCCGTTTTGAAGCAATGAAGGGTAAAAACAAAAACTGTAATAAACTAAACAAACTATTTAATAACTTTATTCAATAGTTACTGCTGAAACTTTTTCTCATATTAATTTTTTTAAAATCTTATAGTGAGTTATATTTTAAGTATCAGTTTTGCTCTATGATATTTTCCATTCCTTTTTAAGCTTAGAAAGTACAATAAATTAAATGAGCCCTGACCATTTAACATGCATAGATAAAAAGATGAGGGAACACAAAATGGGCCTGAGGTTTTTCCGTTCTGTACTGCCTTTCTACTTGCAGTAACTTAAAGTATGCCTAGATGATAAGACTCTTGGACTGTACTCCACATGAATGCACCGTGTTTCTGAAATCTGTGGGATTTGGCAGTTAATGAAAACATGGTTGTAAGTAATGAAAAACCCACCCAATATCAGCCTAAACAAATAGATTTTTTCTCCACCTAAATTAACTGAGTATTTGACATATTTGTGAATTTTTTTGGCCTTTCCCTCATAGCTGCAAGATGGTCGTTGCCACATCTCCAAATATAAAATCTACATTTCAGAAAGGAATAAGTAGAGTGACAGAGTAGTATCAGCAGGCTTCTGCCCAAATCTCAATGGACAGAACTCTTTTACATGGTTACCTTGAGTTAAGAGACCAGTGCTGTCTTCTTTAGTCACACAGTGGAGTTGAGTAAGACAAAGCAGGGATGCTAATGAGAGTCAAATGATTATTCTTTAGTATTTGCATGTGAAGCCACTTTCTAAATCTAAGTTAATTATCCCTTCTGAATCAGATTATAAACTCATTTAGGATTGGTTCTATTCCTTTTTGTTTTTCTCTGTAAGAATATCTAGCAAGATGCATAGAATTAATATTTTTAAATTATCTATTTAAATTTTCAGGATAAAAATAACTACATTATAGGTTTTTGTTAAGTCTACACTCTAATAGGGAGGCATAACCTAATTTTATAAAATCTATTCATGGCAGCAGTGTTTGCTACCTGCATTATAACCACAAAATTATTTCCCTCAATAGATGAGAATGGGGGTCATATCTAGGTCCCAAACCAAGCTTATTGTTTTAGAGCTATGTGGAAAATTAGATTACTGGTTGCATTAGTTTCCATTGCTTAGTAACAAATTACTCCAATTTACCAGCTTAAAATAACATCAATTTATTATCTCAGTTTCTATGGGCCAGGACTCTGGATATGAATAGCTAGGTCCTCTGCTCTGGGTCTCACTGTGCTGGAATCAATGTGTCAGGCAGGGCTATAAACCCCATCTTGTTATAGTACCCTGGACCTCTAGTTTTTTGGCTCTCACGTAGATATTAGCACTAAGCTGAAGAAATGTTTCTCAGGCAAGGCTTAATAGGCATACGGCTGGAGCAATGCAAGAGAACAGCATTACAGGAAAGGGATCCCGGTGCTAGCTCCCGGGAAGTCTAGGCTCTTGTCCTTTTAAGGAAGCTGAGGCAGGGGAAAAGAGCCGCACGTGCACGTTTACGTGAGTTTTTCTCTGTGCCTGTGTGGTGAGGCATCAAGCCCTATGGTGCGACCCGTGCACAGAAAAATGGCGGATAAAGCCCCGCCTTAGGTGGGCTCAGTATTACAGTAAGATTATAATGAGAAGAAAGTCGTTCCTGGAGTTCTCGTCACTCCCCAGCTAGATCTGGTAAGGTTTTTATCAGGAAAGCCAGGGTCCCGATTCAGCAACCTGGAAGACATTACTCAAGGAGATGAATGGTTAGGTTCTTCCTTTTCTAGTTAGGAATTCAGCTTGGTCTGCTAAGTTGGGAAGGCGGCTTTCTCCTATGTGACTTAGGTCAGCTTAAGAGAGGCAAGAAGGTAGGGCAGAGAATATGCCCGGACATGTGAGACCTGTTGGGATTCTGATCATCGTATCTCTTGTCTGCTGGGACTGACTCTCATCCCTACAGTGTTACTGGCTGTTGGTAGAATTCCATTACTTTTTGGTTGAATTCCATTCCTTGTAGTTATAGCGCTAAAGTTCCATTGTTGTTGCTGGCTGTTGAGCAGAAACCAAACATCCATCCTTGCCACATGGTCTGCTCTTGAAGAACAAATTCACTTCTTCCAGGACAGAAGTAGCACATCTCTCCTACTTTGAATTACTCTCACTTTTGGCATCCCTCCACTGCTTCTAGTCTCTTTTTAAATGGCTAATTTGATACCTCAGCTCCACTCAGGATAATCTCCTATTTTAGTAAATTATAGTCAACTGATTAGAGGTCTTAATTACCTCTGCGAAATCCCCTCTTCCTTGCCAGGTAACTTAATCATGGAGTGTATCCTACCTGTGGTAGCCTATTCAGAGACCTGATTCACACTGAAAGGCAGTGAGTTATACAGGACATGAACACTAGAGGCTGGCACCATAATTGTGGTTGCCCTCTTAGAATTCTGCCTACTGTACTAATAAACTTTAATCCTGTTTTTAAGAACTGATTATGAAGCATAGAGTTAGTAAAAGGTTTAAAATGTAACAATTATATCTGAGGATCTAGAGAAGTTTCTCGCTAATTTAAGGATTTAATTGGACATGAAATGTTTTTAATTTAAATGTGATGAGATCAATTTTATTAAAATCAGACAAACTCCAGTGTCAATATCTTTAACCACTATACAACACTTTTTCCATACCATGTGAAAACAGCATGGTCCCTCTCACATAAAAATTGTTCAGTAAATATTACCTAAAATTATTCTGTTTACTGATGGATTAAAATATGTTTTCTATTTGTCACCATTGCATGGTTTTGAATGTTGGATGACTAGCGTTTTGTTAATGCAGTGATTAAGTATAGCCATACTGTGTGGCTGAAAATGAGCTTTGCAGAGAACTGCAAAATTGTTTGACTTCTTGTACTTTAAAGAGTGTCAAGAGAAATCGAGCTGATTACAAATTGACTAGGATTGAAAAAAAATTATGCTAAAAATGATTTTTTTCAGAGAAATCTTATGAATCATTCCTTAGTGTTTTTTTAGGACATTCTACTGTTTTAGCAATCACACTTATTCTCAGGAATCTCCTCTGCTCTTATGAACTTTCATTATATGACACTAATTACATAAGTTGAAATGAGATGTAGGCAAAAAAAGGGATGTCATGTGGGAGAAAATATCTATATTGTGTTTTTATGGAACCTATGATCTTTACAATCATCTATGCAGAAAGAAAAGGAAAGAGCTTATTATTTGTGATGAAAAAAGTTATAATCTTACTGTTCATCCTGACTCTGCCCCAACTATCCCTGACAAATTAGACAAATCTGACCTTTTAAGAACATTCAAGAAAAAATGACCTCTAAACCCCATTATATACTAATGTCTAGGTAGTACTGTGTGCAGTATATTTAAGATAGTTCTTAAAATTTAATTAAATGTATGGACTGTATGAATATTAAAACTTGTTTTAAATTTTCATGTTAATTTTTAGTTACACTGGATTTTTATCTTCTTTTTAGATGCAGAACTGTGATAACATTATATTTTCATTCTTTAATTTGATGAGCTTTGAGTAAAAGAACTGTATTTTTCACCATACACACACACACACACACACACACACACACACATTAAATATAATAACTGAAGCCATGACATAGGGTTAGAAAAAAATGGAAGTTCATCCAATTTAATTTTTTATCAGTAAATTTTTACCTCATTAATCCATTTATATATTCATTAATAGACCTATTGAAGGGAAAGCCAAGTAGCTCAGATTGAGGGTAGAATAAATAGGGTATCCTACACTTATAAGTAGTATCTAGTTTTTGGATGCAATAAATCCTTGGCTTTCATTTTAATTAAATTATGGGATCCAATTAAAATTTTCATAGGTATCGATATCAGCTATTCATAAGTGCATAATCCTTTTGGATTCTACAACTAAAATTTATAATTTTACCTTTTATATTTAGCTTTATTCTTGTTTTAAAATGCCATGATTATATAATTCCAAATTGAAAAAAAAAAAGTTGGTTTGCATATTTACTTCCAGGACTTCCAATAGTAAAAATACCTCTTCTCTCATGGTTATGAAAGAACAAATTTTCTTGTTATCAATGGTATTTTATTTAGAAATACGATATTTAGAATAAGTGAAATTTGTGATTTGTATTTTCTCTTTTTATTATTTTGAATTATGGAACAATTGGGATGCAAGTGGGGAATACGGAGATAGGAATATTTTTAAGCTTTACAAATTAAAACTTTCAAAGTTGCTTTCTTTGACTTCCCATTGGTATACTTCTTTTTTCAATTATGATTTCTTCTGACATTTTAATGTTCTTTGCCAAACCCTTTGGAAACCCATGGTGATGTTTATCAGATGACTTGAGTTAGAAATCTTTTATTATATTCCAACTTCAGCCTCTAACTCCTTGAATGACCTTGAGAAATTAATATTCCTCCTACTATCTGTAATGGTAAAAAAAAAAAAAAAAGAAAGAAAAGAAAGGAAAAAAGAACTCAGAGGGAGGTTCTGAAGCTTCATTATAATTATGATTCATAATAAAGTCCACTGAGCTATCTCAAGAAAAGGCATTGTACTAAGACAAAATAATATTACAGAACTCTCTGGAGTCTTCATGTGTGTGTTGTTATTTACAGACTTCAACAGAATTATATTTCAGTGTGCCTGTAGGGTCTCTGATGTTTTTCTTTCAACCAAAACTTTTTCTCTTCATAATAAATGTTTGCTAAGCCATGGATTCCTTGAGGAGGCAATGGAATGACTCAAAATTGTTAACTAATGCTCATGAATTTTAAACTACCTTCCCTTTATGATCAAAATGGGAAGAGTTTAAGTTTAAAGTATTAAGATATCTAGTACATACTTACAGTAAGTCTGCATAAATTATCTCATTCAAATCACCATACTTTTAAATTTTGATGAGGCATTATAGAGACTTGTCCAGGGTCACTTAGCTATGCTTTTCCATATTTCTACATATGCAGTTTTGTTTAAAGGGTAGAGTCTAATGTCTAGCATCTGAGTACTAGTTATTATAGATCATCTCTGTCTAAATCCTTGTTCTGCCACCCATACTGTGTGACTTTAGGAAACATAAAATAGTCTGTACCTTAATGTCCTCATTTATAAAATGGAGATAATAGAATGTATTATTAAATCAGCTAAATGAGATAATACATATAAAGCTCTTAGTGTTTGGCGCATGTTAAGTACTGAATAAGTGTTAGCCATTCCTACAGGGCTGGTCGTGGCTCTATTCTCATATGTAAATAATCTTTGTTGATTAAAATTAGAGTTGGCATTAATTGGGTAAGGGTATTTTCATTTCTAATTTTATGTTTATAAAGTGGGTTTTTTCCTGTTATAAAATTGGTCTATCCTGTGTTTAAACTTCCTCTTTAGGGTCCTTAGTATTAAATAATCTCAACTCTCATATTTATGGATATAAGTTACATTATTCAAAGTGAAACTTTCATCTAGACATTTATTAATAATGAGTATAATAATTAATATTTATTGAGCATGTGTTATGTGCAAGGGATATTTCCAAGTACTTTTGGTTAACTATTTATTTCATTTAATTATCAGGACAACAATAATGTTGGGTATTACTACCATTATCTCTGTTTAGAAATTTAAAAAAAAAAAAAAAACTAAGGCTGTCAGAGATTGGCTGAGGCCACTTAGGTCTTATGGGACAGAGTTAGAGTTTGATCTCATATTATCTGACAATTAAACCCATATATATTTTTTACTCTCTATATTTTACCCTCTTATATCTCCACTGAATGCCCCTCTGTCACTTAAAAATACACATATTAGATATCAAACTCACATTTTTTTCCTACCCAATCTGACCTGATCCTAACAGATATATTTCAAATATTCCTGTGATCACCCCTACTTGGAATTCATGGTTGTTGTCTATAACCTACTTCCCCTCTTACTTGGCACCCTTTGCTCCTGCTCTGGCTTTAGAATTTCTGGCTTTAAAATGTTTCCATAAATTATCCCACCAATCTCCTTTCCTGTGTGATCCTCACTGGCAATACTCTGGAGTAGGTCTTCCTGAATACATGTTTGGATTACTGCTTTTCCTTCATTGATATTCTCCCCTAATTTTATTTTGTTATAATTATACTCTAAGTTGCCATTTACTAGCTGTGTTACCTTGGAAAATTAATTTATTTTCCTGTGACTCAATCTTAAAATGAGGAGAAGGTTGATAACGAGAGCTGAATACGTTCCTATGCATGAGGTTTACTGTGAGGTTTCTGTGAATGCAGGACTTTTGGTCTGCTTTGTTCAGTAATGAATCCTAAGTGCCTACAATAATGTTTGATAAAACAAATAAAATAAATATTTACTGAATAAATACAATGTTTAGTAAATATTAGTTCATTAATAGCATTATTCTTATAAACTACTGCTGTGGCTAGAGTGAAGTGGTGCAATCTTCACTCACTGCAAGCTCTGTCTCCCAGGTTCACACCATTCTCCTGCCTTAGCCTCCTGAGTAGCTGGGACTACAGGCGCCTGCCATGATGCCCGGCTAATTTTTTGTATTTTTAGTAGAGATGGGGTTTCACTGTGTTAGCCAGGATGGTCTTGATCTCCTGACCTCATGATCCACCCGCCTCGGCCTCCCAAAGTGCTGGGATTACAGGCGTGAGCCACTACGCCCGGCCGATTTATGTTATTTTTTAAATGTCAAAACTGGAAGAGAAATGACATAAATAAGATGATGGAATAGAAGATTTCCCTGGTATCACTCTCCTCTTCCTACAAAAATACAAGTAGAAACTATTTAAAGACAAGAATACCACTGCTGAGTTTATTAGAACTTGGGGAAGACATGGAGAAACCCCTGGGGCCCATAGAATTGACAGAAACCCTGATTGGTAAGAGAAGTGGCCAATTCAGACAGTGCTGCCCTGCCCCCCACCAGCATAACACTACTCACGGAAAATTTTCCTAGATCCACAGTTTGTAAGGTGAAAGGAGAGGATGTAGGTGAACATTCAATCTACACACTCGACTGGGAATCTTCATGGTAAGCCCACTCTGGTCCCATTCCATGGCAACCACTGAGAGTTCCAGTTGGCCTAAACCACATGGGATACATTCAAGACAAAGAGCAAGGCACTAATCATAGCAACTGGCATGTGGATCTAGGCAACTACTCTGAGCTCCAATCAGCTGGGATGTCAGAATGTGGAGACTAACTGGCACCATAGTGCTGTAAGGGACACAATCTGTCAGAAGGCTTGAAGTCCTGGCTGGATTATCTAGAAGAACAGGTGCTTACATGGATTCTTCCCCTTGCCCAGAAAAAAGTAAAACTCAGGGTTAGGTTCTGGTGCCTGCTTAAGTCTTATCAAGACTGGGAAACAATAGCAGGACAATGAGTTAGTTTTCTGGTATAGCGCACATTATAAGTTCTTCCCAGAATGGAAGCAACCAGCCCGTGTTTAACTTCTAATACTAAGTAGTAAAGGTCAAACACCGTTAAAGAATACCTCCAAAAACCAAAAAAGATAAATATCTCCTCAAATGTGCAGGTATCAACAGAAATACACAAGGACTGTGAAAACTCAGGGAAATATGACAGCACCAGAATAAACCAGCAAAGGCTCAGCAATTGACTTAGAAGTGAAGATCTGTAAAGTATTGAACAGAGAATTCAGAATGATCTAAGAGAAGTTCAAGGAGTTACAAGAATATATAGATAGAAAACTCAATGAAATTTGAAAATCAACCCAGGAACAATTTTAAATAAGAGAAACAAATAGAAATACTAGATATAAAGAATACAATAGCTGCAACAAAAAACTCATTAGAAAGCTTTAATAGCAGATTTTTATCAAACAGAGTAAAGAATGTGAGCCCAAAGACAGAATATGTGAAATTACCCAAGCAGAGGAGAAAAAATAATTAAATAAGAGTAAAGAAGGCCTATGATAATTACGGGACACTATAAAACAAACTGACCACTGCATAATAGAAATTCTCAAAGGAGGTTAAAGAGAAAATGGTCTAGAAAGCAGATTTAAGAAAATAATGGGTTAAAAATTTTCTAATTCTGGGAAAAGATGACATCATCCAGGTACAGGAAGCTTAGAGAATACCAGTCAACAAATTCAACTCAAAGAGAAAATACCCGAAGCACATAATAATTACATTAGCAAAATTTATAGACAAAGAAAGAATACTCAAAGCAGCGAGAGAAAAGAAACAACACATTTTTTTTTTTTTTTTTTTTGAGACGGAGTCTCGCTCTGTCGCCCAGGCTGGAGTGCAGTGGCGCGATCTCGGTTCACTGCAAGCTCCGCCTCCCGGGTTCACGCCATTCTCCTGCCTCAGCCTCCCGAGTAGCTGGGACTACAGGCGCCCACAACTGCGCCCGGCTAATTTTTTGTATTTTTAGTAGAGACGGGGTTTCACCGTGGTCTCGATCTGCTGACCTTGTGATCCGCCCGCCTCGGCCTCCCAAAGTGCTGGGATTACAGGCTTGAGCCACCGCGCCCGGCCAGAAACAACACATTTAACAGAACACCAGTATGGCTTTCAGTGAACTCATCAGCAGACACCCAGCAGGCCAGGAGAGTACACTTTAAGTTACTGCAAAGAATATAAGTTACTGCAAAGAATATAAGTTACTGCAAAGAATATAAGTTAGCATGGAGTTTCCTCAAAAAACTAAAAATAGATCTGAAATATACTTCAGCTATCCCCTGGCTGGGTATGTATCCAAAATAAAGGATTTCAGTATTTTGAAGAGATATCTGCACTCCTATGTTTATTGCAGCACTATTCACAATAGTTAGACTATGGAATGAAAAAAAGTGTCCATTAATACATGACTGGATAAATAAAATAGATTATATATTCACATTGAAGTATTAGTTTGCCATAGAAAAGAATGAGATCTTGTCATTTGCAGCAACATAGATGAAACTGGAGGATATTATGTTAGGTAAAATATGCCAGGCACAGAAAGTCAAAAATTGCATGTTCTCACTTATAGGTGGAAGCTAAAAATAATAAAAGTTGATCTCATACAGGAAGAGAGTAGAATGATGATTATCATAGGCTTGGAAGTTTAGGAGCAAGAGGGATAAAGAAGTTGGTTAATAGGTACTGAAATGAATTTCAATAGAAAAAAATTTATATTTTTCAATAGGGTGACTGCAGTTAACAATAATTTATTGTATATTCAATAACCAGAGGAGAATATTTGAAATATTCCTGATCCAAATAAATTAAATGTTTTAGAAGTGATGGATATTCTAATTACCCTGTTTTGATCATTACACACAATATGCATGTATCAGAATATCACATGTACCCCATAAATATGTACAATTATTATGCATCAATAAAAATGTCAAAACTGGAAGGAAATAGAAAAATGCATGAAGATAGATACTTACTTGGGATATTGGGCAGCAGTTGAAGGAAACATGGGGAAGAAGAGGATTAAAAGGAAAGAAATCACTGTGGTTGATGTCCCTAGTCTCATATCCTATCCACAATTGCACACTTCTCTTAAGATAAAGAAAAATAACAATTATTTGAGTACTCATTACATACCACACATTGTGTTAAATGTTTCCTATCCTTTTTCTCATTTAGTTTCCATTTACGTAAGACAATATTGAAAACAATCCTATGTAATATCTATGTCATTTGTATTGTATTTTTTAGGAAACAGAAGATACGAGAGGTTAAGTAATTTGACTTGTCACACACCTTGTATAGGGCCTTAAATACACATAAATCTTCTTACGCTAAACATTGTTGATTAACTAGTAAGCAATAATAAGAGGGAAAATAGAATGGTTCTATTCTAGACAGTGCCAGGTAATTAATCTACCTGATTGAGCCGGATATTGTCCATAGAGTAAGAATAAAGCTAAGGGGTTGAAAAGAGAATATCTGGAAGGTATTCTATTAGAAGAGTGATAAAAGTAGTGTAAACTAGTTAGTTGTATGTACTCTTTGGTTTAAAAATCTTTGTAAATGTATTTTCTCATATTTTTATAGTAGGTATAAGACACCTGTAAAGGTGTCTAATGGCTGTGAATTCCTTCACTTGTGAACAATCTGACTCCCATTCAAAACAACCATGTATGGTCACAGCAACAACAAAATCCTAAATATTGATGCTTATTTAATACCTTGTTTACATATAAATCTTTATATATGATTTATAAGTGTTAAACGATGCAGTAGTTAATGTGGACACTGAATTATAATAAAAATAGTTATAATTGCCACATGAAAAACAATAGTAAAACTCAGAAATATTTATATTATTTATAAAACTTTGTATGTGTTCAATTACTGCTGATATTAAAGCCAAAGGAAACTAAATATTGCCATCTTTTAGCTGGCATTTGGAAGAAGAAATTAAGTCCATTCCTTAAAAAGGAGAATCATCATTCTCTATATAGTCTTCATGAGTATTAAGCTTCTGAGGGCAAAATTATACTTCTTTCCTTTCTTTAATATATCTATAATAACTTTTACACTATTTGAAGAAATGATTTTGTGGGCATATTATTTCATAACATCACCAATGTTATATATTTTTTAACTGACAAAACATAACTTCAGGGAAAAAAGGTAAATGTTTGTCACCATAAACTAAATATTTATCTGAAGTGTAATTAGTACTATGTCCTTCATTGTTATTTGAGAACAAGAAATACAGCTATGGAAAGTACATCTATTTTATATAGATACAAGGACTTAATGAACATTTAAAAAATATTGAGGTTTTCTCTATTAAAATGCTTATAAAATGGATATTATTTGTAGAACATTTCAATATTTTGCTAGAAAATATAAAAATAAGAAATAACATTATAAATATTTTGGCTGAGAATATTATTTACAATGCAAAATATTTCCATTAATTTGAATATAAAGGTAATATCACAAATCTTTTTCAAACATTATGCAGTAGTCAGCAATGAACACAGCCTTTTTAAATGCTAAAACAAAATGTGTAGTACAGTGCAATCTCTATTGGTCTAAATATGTATGAATAAATAAACTTAACCAAGGAGATGAAAAACTTGTACATGGAAAACTATGAAATATTCATGAAAGAGATAAGGAGAGACAAGTAAATAAAATATCCATTGTTATGAATTAGAATATTTATTAACATATTTATATAACCCCAAGTGATCTACAGATTAAATTGTATCCACATCAATATCCCAGTAAGTGTTTTACAGAAATAGAAAAAAAATCCTAAAATTCATATGTAACCACAAAACACCCAGAATAGCCAAAGCATATTGAGACAGAAAAACCAAGCTGGAGATATTGCACTTCCTGATCTCAAAATACATTACAAAGCTACAGTAATTAAAACATTATGGTATAGGCATAAAGACAGGCATGCAGACCAATAGAAGAGAATAGAGAACCCAGAAATAAAGTTGCACGTAGGTGGTCAACTTATTGTCAAAAAAAGTGCCAAGAATACACATTGAGGAAAGTAATTTCTTTAAAATTGGTGTTGAGAAAACTTGATATCCACATGCAGAAGAATGAAATTGAAACCTCTTATAGGACACACAATTATCAATTCAAAATTCCATTAAAGACTTAACTAAGACTTGAAACTGTAAAGCTGTAAATATCCTAGAAGGAAACATAGGAGTTCTTTTTTTTTTTTTTTTAACAGAGTTTCTCTCTTGTTGCCCAGGCTAGAGTGCAGTGGCAGCGATCTCGGCTCACTGCAACCTCCGGCTCCTGGGTTCAAGTGATTCTCCTGCCTCAGTCTCCTGAGTAGCTAGGATTACAGGCATGTGCCACCACCCAGCTAATTTTGTATTTTTAGTAGAGGTGGGTTTTTGCCATGTTGGCCATGCTGGTCTCAAACTCCTGACCCCAGGTGGTCTGCCTGCCTCAGCCTCCCAGAGTGTTGGGATTACAGGCATGAGCCACTACGCCTAGCTGAGAAGGTTTTCTTGACATTGGTTTTGGCAATGATTATTTGGGTATGACCCTACAAAGATGGGAAAAACAGCAAATTAGGCAAATTTGATTGTATCA